ACTCCATGCTGGCTTATATCTGCTGCAATTTTCTGCTCTTGGAAAGCTTTGTGTCAAGATGAATCCAAACTGACAGAACCCCAGTAGGATATTGATGTCTGGATCAACAACAATAAAAATCCATATGAATTGTTGCTTACACACTTTTGCCTCCCTGAATGGTTGCCTGTAAATCTTGTTGTCCATTCCCACACAGTTTAGATATTCTGATTGATTTGTGGGAAAAAGAGTATATTTTACACACTGAATTACACAAGTTTGACTCCTGTGTGCTAAACCCCATCCCTGAAGAGTGATTGTCCGATAGCAACTGTAAATAGCAATGGCAGCCTCCCAAACTTTGGATTTCTCCACATGCTGAATGGTGTACTTTCTGTAATAATAGCTTCACTGGGTGTCTAAATAGTTTTGAAGGTGGTGTCTTTATTATTACCTTGGAGAACCAAAAACAAACGTGTGAGAAATGGATTAAACAGTGTGCAAACATTAGCATGTCCAGCCAACCTAGCATTATTTACCATGGCATGTTATAGCTAACTATATTATTATGTGGTGTTACAGGTTGCATTAATAAAATTCAGGACTGTAACATCCACCGCTTGGGAGACCAAGGTGCTAGTATGTTAGAGTAATGATAGCGTCCTGCTATTCATTTGGTTTTGGGAAAATTACATTCCTGCAGCTCCACTTTTCTCTTCTAAAAGTGAAGCCATACTGTTTGAAATGAAAGCATAAATGTAACCACCATGTTGCTTACTACTAACCTCTTCAAGTTTGCTTAAAATGCTGATGCTAACATACGTCTTCTACATCAATCATCAATCGCCGTGAATGTTGACTTTTTGCACTGGACATGTAGCTTTAGCCTCAAACTTTTTCGCATTATATTAGCAGATAGGCATCATTAACTTATTTAATACCTTTTACAGGCTTTTTGTATTAAAATGACCATTGAAAACATAAAAAAATCAGCTGAAGATGGAGTTTTCAACTAACTTTTAGCGTTAACATTACCTTATGGTAGCTAAAGAATGTTCTAGCGTTAGTAGTTGTTTCTGCTGATAAAATCCAGGTCCACCGACTTGAAATCAAAAACCTGCTTTTGTTTATATCTGTATGAAATGAAAGACCAATTGTTAAGAATAATACTGTGAATGTCGAGTGGGAAATCTGCCTGTGTGATGAGCTTGAGGCAGGGCTTAGGGAACAACTCATCTAATACTATTCTATGCACCTCCTATGGTATTATATGTATTTTGTATGGGCTCTGCTGTTTTTGTTCTACGCTTGCTCAACACTGTTGTTTCCATCCTGACTGATTTGGCCACTAGTGCTTTGTAAATATGTTTAATTCTGAAATAGTTGAGATGGGATATTCTCAGAAGTTTGCCTTTGGGGCAGACCCAAGTGTAAATACAATCTTGGATGTTGACATGAATTTGCTGACACAAGTTTGTGTCCATCCTGGCCTTTTGCTGAGAGAGGACTTCCTATCTTAAATCCTGCTTTTCCTGCCAAGACAACTGTTATCACTCTGGGGCGAGAAAGGTACTTTCCCCAAAGAATATGCGTAAGCAAGCTTGTTAGATTGAGCAGCAAAATAAACTGGCACAAATGAAAAATGTACACTTTGTTCACAAAGGTTTTCAGAGTTTTTCTTCTTTCTGTTTTGTCCAGAAAAAGACACAATTTTCATACTTTCTTGTGACCAAACTGACCAGATGTTTTGGTTTTTTTGTGAGTGTATGATTAGTTTGCATATCTGTTTGTGCAGTGTGTGAGTCTTCACCGTGACATTTTCAGTGTACACACTTCCGCTCAGCTCCCCTAGCAGCTTGGCCAGCAATTTGCCCGTTCAGCACAATGCATTGTGGGATCCCACTGCTTAATCCTAGGGTTAAAATTGAGTATATGTTCCCTGCAGCCATAACGAGCACTCTGTCGTCACAGAGAAGATCAGTGACACATCCCAATTACCCCTCTCCCCCTAAACCTGGCCAATCACTCCCAGAACCTTGTTAAAAGAAGATAGGAGGGTGGTGGAGGAGGGCGATAGAGGAAACTGACCTTGTGCAAGAGTGTGTGTGTGTGTGTGTGTGTGGTCATGTGCTGACAGGAGATACGCCACATCACACATTCAAAAGAAGGGCTCCAGCCAGAAGATCACATGGGCATGCACAAATCCACGGCATCACAGACACAGAGCAGCCCTGCAGAGGATGATTTAAGAGCTGGCTGGAGCAATCAATATTTTAGCAGATATGAAATCCAGAAACGCCATCCAAGGTGTATTTAAAATGATGTGAATCTGGGCTGTAGAATAAGCGCAATATAAATCATTAGCTGCTTGCCCTGTTGTACTGTAGCTTAGAGCTCTGTATGAAATTCTGTGTGTGTGTATGTGGGTGTGTGAGGAGAGGGAAAGCAAGATTTTAGAGGATTTTACAAAGTTGAACTTTTTCAAAACTAAAACCAATAGTTCTGGACTGTGGCTATGATGAGTTCAATATCTGTTAAATTACAAATATTCATTGTTTCTCCTTGATTTTTAAAACCACTTGTCTAGTATTCCTACTACCACCACTACTACTACTTTCGACTACTACACTGACATCACCACGCACATATGTTAGCAAACGTGCTATTTACATAAACCACCAAGTCTTCTGTTGCTAAAAGCCCTGGTACCCACATACAGTGGGTTTTTATAGCTTTTATGCTGAAAACAACTGCCTTTCATGCTGATTAGAGGAGGAGTAAAAAGGCGCTAAAATGCTCCATAAACTGCAGAGTTAGATGTAATTCTGTGTGGGTTTGTCACTATGAGCAACTTCTTTCACATTACTCGTAGTTAACTGATTAAATAAGTGAGCGGCAACCTACAAATGTCATCACATTGTGAAAAAATGTAAATGCA